TTATGCTAACTTTTACTACGAAAACATTTTTCTTTAGTAGAAAATTGAGAAACTTTCTACTTTACAGATAAAAGATGCGTCCAGTCATAAAATCAGTTAGTAGTAGAATGAGAACAGTGTACTCCCTGTTACTTCTGTGACACAATAATTTGTTTTTTATTGTTGCCAGTTTAAAATTAAGAACTGTGTTTAAAGTTACTTGAGAAGATATGGATAAAAGGCAGCTGGGCTAGTGCTGAGTTACTTAACTGTGATGCCCTCATTAAGAAAACGGATTTTAGCACCACTGAGACTCCGTCTCAAAAAAAAAATGGATTTCAGATGGATTTTATAAGCTGCTTTAGCATTTGGTGACATGATATATTAGCAAAAACAGTTTCTGTTTTGAAACCATGGTTTGTTTTTAAATAGTAAAATTGTGTCACTACTGAATATTGGTAAATTCTGTTCCGATATCAACAGCTATTTGGAGAAAAAAATGACTCCAACAATGCATTTTTTTTTTTTCTTCCAGACCTTTGAGGACATAGCATGTTTTAGCCTTTCTAAGCAAATTGACCTCTTGATTTTTGGAGAAATTATAAATTCATCTGAATTTTCAGACGGAGAAAAATAACCATTTAACAAATATTTATTAAATCTTACTGTAATGTTAGGCATTTTGGAGGATTATGTAAAGATGATTACATAGTCTGCCACTGGTTTTCATTTGGTAAGTGGTTGTTCAAATCTACCACACTGTATAGATGCATCACCTGTTTCTTATGCATGGAAACTGTATTGATCTGTTGTCTAATAGAGTCTGAAGGTGGCAATAGAGGTTACATTTGGCTACTGATGAGCTTCCATTTGCTTGTTTTTTTAACATCATGGTGCCAGGTATCTTGCTGAAACCAAGAAAAAGAGATAGCTGTTGCTGTTATAGATTGGTGGTAGCAGTGGATGGCGGGTGCCTGTTATTGAAGCACCATTCCTCAGTCATCTCACTTCATCATTCATTTGGCTGGTGGAGGGTGGATTGGAAAAGGTATTAATTATAGTTATTTAAATTATAATATTGTTTGGTTAAAGAACTCTGTATATTGTATGTTTCATTATCCTTAGATGATTCAGTCTGCTAAAAGATTCACATTGCAGAATTTTCTATCATTTTTTTTGATTGGAAGTTTAGAGATTTTGCCTAAAGTTGTACTCTGTCTTTATAGGAATTCTGTATTTTTAGTTATTTGATAACTTTCCATACTATTTTCCATGGAGGTTGAACTAATTTACATTCCCACAAACAATGTGTAAGCGTTCCCTTTTCTTTGCATCCGTGCTGACATCTGTTGTTTTTTGACCTGTTAACAATAGCCATTCTGACTGCTGTGAAATGGTATCTCATTGTGGTTTTGATTTTCACTTCTCTGCTAATTAGTGATGTTGAACATTTGTTCATGTATTTCTTGGCCACTTGTATTTCTTCTTTCGAGAAATATCTCTTCAGCCATCCCAATACTGGGTATCTACTCAAAGGGAAAGAAGTCATTATATAAAAAAGACACCTATACTCATAAGCTTATTGCAGCACTGTTCACAACAACAAAGTCATGGAGCCAACCTAAAAGTCCACCAGTAGTTGACTGGGTAGAGAAAATGTGAAATATGATATATATAGACCATGGGATATGACACAGCTACAAGAAAGAATAAAATCATGTCCTTTGCAGTAGGATGAATGGAGCTGGAGGCCATTATCCTATGTGAGCTAACTTAGAAAACCAAATACCACATGTTCTCACTTATAAGTGGGAGCTAAACAATGGGTACACATGGACATAAAGATGGAAAAAATAGACACTGGGGACTCCAAAAAGGGGGAGGTTGGGAGAGGATTGAAAAGTTACCTGTTGGGTACAGTGTTCACTATGTGGGTAATGGATATACTAGAAGCGAAATCCTTACCAATATGCAATGTACCCATGTAACAAACATACACCTGTATCCTCTGAATCTAAAATGAAATTTAAAGAAATAATAAAAACAATAACTATTCAGCTGAGCTCATATTGTAGAACCATACGAAAATAAAGTTTTATATTTTTTAACACTGAATTTTGTGTTTGTGTGCAACAGTGAGTAACTGAACAAGGGACTTGGAAAATATGTGTTGACTCAATAAGTAAATGAATGAATAGATGGAAAAATAATAATTATAGGGATTTTTAAACATACAAAAAATGCAGTTTCAGTATTTATCACATATGACCAGTCTTGTTTTAATCTGTCTACCCGAATTAACTTTAAAACACATTGTAGGCACGATATCATTTGATTGGATATTACTTCAGTATGTGTCTCTAAATTATAAGGACTCTTTTTTTTAAAAAAAGTAAATGAAATTAGCAGGCTAAAAAGTTAACTAATTTCTCAATATCACCAAATATCTAATTAGTATTCAAATTTCTCTAATTTTCTCACAAATGCTTTTTTATAGTTTTTACAAATCAGGTCCGAACTCAGGGCCATGACTAACATTTGTTTGAAATGTCTCTTATGTTAATATTCTGTATATTTCCCTTCCCTTTTGCGCCTTTTGCCATCGATTGCATAAGTCATTTGTCCTATAGAATTTTTCATGTTCTGAATTTTATTGCTGACACCTCTTTCCTGTCACCATATCTTTGTCTCTTTATTTCTGGTAAATTTGTAGTGTAAATGGTAGTGAAATCCGAAAAGTATGTATCCAGTTTAGGTTACATTTTCTAACAATAATACTTCATAAATGGTGAGATGGTTGAATTTTTGAATTGGTTGATAAAAGCATGTAGGTGATACATGTCAACACTATTGTTTTTTTTTTTTTTTTCTCCAACTAAGATTTATTTCTTATTGCAGTCATGATGATACTGAATAGCAAGTTAGAGGAAACAGCTGTTCATGTGTAATGTTACTAACCAGACCTTTCTTTAACAAAATTACGTATTTGTGATTTGGTTTAGGTTATTTATAAAGAGCAACAGTACTGAAACAGTAGGAGTTCTTATTTGGCATAGGATTGCTAGACATGGTCAGACTACACATGAGTAAGCTTTGCCTTCTGAGTCATTGGATTTGGTAACATTTTTGTCTACTCAAGGGTCTGGCCAACTTTACTTTTCCTACTAAGGATGATGAAATCCTTGCTGTTAACTTTATGCTGGAATTGTAAGTGTGAAAATTCATCCAGTAAAACCCGAAACTTGTAGTTAATTCTTATGATTTATATAGAAGAATTTAAGTAAGAAATGTAACTTTAAATAGAGTAATTTTATTACAGATAGACTTTAAAAGCCTCTTTGTTCTTATAAAATAAAATGTGGTATTCCCTATTTTGAAATTTATTCTGAATAATGTTAAATTTTCATAATCAGTTAAGCTCTGTTGGAAACTTTATAAACGAAAATTTTTTTAAATAGTTGATTTTAAAAAATATTCTTAAGATATATTTACTTGGGCCTGATCACCCAGACTGGAGTGCAGACATGTGATCTTGGCTCACTGCCATCTCTGCCTCCCGAGTTCCAGCGATTCTCCTGTCTCAGCCTCTTGAGTAGCTGGGATTACAAGTGTGTGCCACCATACCCGACTAATTTTTGTGTTTTTAGTAGAGACGAGGTTTCACCATGTTGGCCAGGCTGGTCTCAAACTGCTGCCCTCAAGTGATCTGCTCACCTCGGCCTCCCAAAGTGCCGTGATTACAGGCATGAGCTACTGTGCCTGGCCAGGAAATACCTTTTTCTTAGAAAAAAATCCAAGACTGTTGATGTTTATCTTCATGGAATTTTTTTTTTTTTTGGTTGACTAATGAATGTTTGAATTTAGTATTTCTTTGTATATTGTACTGATTTATATTTTATTGTAGTTATTTTCAAAATTTGATGGATAAGTACATTGGTTCATCTGCTGTAATTTTTATAATGCATTATTGCCATGTTTGGTGATTATTGCTTAGGGGATACTCAAAACCTGTATTGTTTTCTTATAAATAGAGTGCAAGTGAGAAACAAATGATGTTACTCAGAGAATATTGAAAAGATGTTAGATTTGCTTTCTTAGAGTGTGGGTCCTTCTAAATCTTTAGTTAAAACAAAAACAACAACAACAACAACAACAACAAAAACTGTTCCAGCCCTTTTGGCATTTGTTGATGCACTTGTTTCTTTTGTACATTTTCCAACATACCTTTTCCTATTAATAATAATCATTATCTGTAGTAGCTTATTGTAGGTGTTTTGAGACAATTCCTTAACTCTGTCTACTTCTACTGAAAAGTGTTATGTGGGACTGAAAATAATAATTCATTATAAAATGGTCGTTAACAGTTGTGTATTTACTAGGGCAGTGGTTATTTTGATTTCATTTATTCTTTAAAGATAAACCAGAACACAATAAATAATGTTGTTGCTTATAAGAATTTTCATAAAAAAGCAATCTCGAATAGTAGAAAAAAATTAAGATTTTGTTTTTAAATATTTGCTCCCAGTCGTCACAATTTATTTTAGAAAATTGGGATCAGATTTAATGGTTGTATTGTTTTTTGTATATGTCATTATTTTGATGAATATAATTTGCTGATATCCTTGCTGATGTCATAAATCAGGAATGATTTATAGATGATGGTGAAGTTTGTTAATTAGATAATGTCAGAGAATCTTAATCATTATGGATTATAAAAAATGTTCATTTTATGGAAGTTTTTCTCAGTGTTGAAATACTCTATTGATGGCATGCTTTTTCTTAATCATCGGTGTACTTTTTTTGCATTGAAATAACTGTCATTTGAAGGTTCATCATTTGTCAGTAATACAACCAATTTGAATCATCTGTTGTTTCAACAGCTCTTTGTTTAGTCTTGTATAGATCAACAAACCAGAATATTCCCATGGGTTTAGTGAGGTCTCTGATTATTGTAGTGAGTTGTAAAATGTGAGCATTTGATCTCTTGGTAAATCTTCTTGTGTTTCCTTTTGTCTTTGCAGATAAATTATTAGTCATAACTGTAGCAACGAAAGAAAGTGATGGATTCCATCGATTTATGCAGTCAGCCAAATATTTCAATTATACTGTGAAGGTATGGTATATCCTTTAACCTTTGAAGATCCTATAATGTGTGCCTAAAGTACAGTTTTCATAATAACAGCACTACAATCTGTAGTCCTCACAAGGAAGATAGCATTTGGTTACATAATTGCTGTTAGTTCATATAGTTTTTGGCCTTATTAATATTTCCTAACACAAATAAATGGTAAATGCTTGAGGTGAGGGGATAGCCAAAGTATTCGGATTTGGTCATTACACATTGTATGCCTGTGCCAAAATATCACATGTACCCCATAAATATGCAGCTATTATGCACCTGTAATAATTAAAATAATACTGTGCCACTTAAACAATAATTTCTTAATTTTTGACAATGCTTTGTATAAATATGTTCTATAAAACAGCAAAAAAAATGTTAATATGTATTTGCATATATATAATTTTTTTCTGGCAGGTCATATACAAATACAATGTTAATAAGATTTGGCAGGGTTTTTTTCACTGAATAATTTTTTCTGTAATGGACTTTGCTATCATAGGATGATTGTTTGTTTACAGAGAATTAGAAACATAAATGTGAAGAGGGTGCCTTGTCTGTCTATTGAGAATTTTCTCTCTTTTTTTTTTTTTTGGTTCGTTTGTTTTCATTTAGAGGAATTTGGGAGCGTTGTTATTGTATTTTTAACCAAAGCATTTTAGAAAATTTATCTCCAGGTGAACATCTCTTTGACAAGTGATCAGAGGAAACTTGGGGAAACTGATAGAACTATTAAACTTAGCAATGAGAGGCCTGCCATTTTATTTACTTACTTGTTTTTTTTAATAGAAAGAAGGATCTGTCAGCCAAGTCTTTTCTACAAATAAGAGGAGAACAAGGAGATACCTAGGTAGGAACACAAAAAGCAAAAAAACTTTTTTTTAAAAAAAGAAGAAAGATTACTTTTTGGAGAAAAACTGATCCATTTGAGTATATAATGTATTAAAAAGGTAGTTTTTATTAAATATCCACTGGAATACTAAATGCAGATGTAAATATGGAACAGCTTAATGTTAATATAGAATAGCTAATAAACAGCTAAATTTTGCTGAAAAGGAGATGTAGTGGTAATAACTAGATGTTTAATACAGGATAAATGAAAAACATGTTAGAAATATGTTACTATGGTAGAAGAAAAATATATGCACCAATAGGAGACACTGTGGAAATAAAATTAAAATTAAGATAAAATAAGGCTGAAATCTAGTTGGGGAATCATTAGGGTTCAGACTGGAGAGGGAGTGGAATGTTTCTTATATGCAAGGCGCCTTGTAGGGAAATTTATTTATGATATGCTGTTAAGTCACTATATGAACCGCGTAAGGTGGATACTACTTTATTTCTGGATGAGGAAAACTTGTCCTAATGCAAATAACTATAAAGTATAATATCAGATCTTGGACCCCATCCCCACTTAACTTACTGGATTTTATGATCCTTTTGCTGTCTCCTCATATAATGCAGTGGTTCCCATTAAGTGGTTCCACAGTAAGTGTGGACCTTAGACCACCAACATCTGCATCACCTGGCTGCTGGTTAGAAAGAAAAAATAGTCAGACTCCACCTCAGACCGACTGGATTACAAATTCTGGGAGTGATACCCTGAAGTCTATGTTTGAACAAGGCTTCCATGAGATTAAGATGCACACTGAAATTTGACAACCACTAGTGTAGTGGAACAAACATAGAGGGTGGTGCTTAACATGGTGTATTGCACAGAGCAGATTCTCAGATGTCATTGGGTCCAATATTGCTTCAGAATTAGGGATTCCAGATGGGTTGTGAAACAAATCTCAGGGCCAGAGGAGGCCAGTTTTTAGAGCAAGTACTATTAATGCTTCAAGATTAGCCTAGTTTGAATCCAGATCCAAAACAGCTTGAGTTTTCTTGGGTTGTATTTTTCCCTCAACCTTCCGCAAAGGAAGTGATAAGTTTTAACAAGACATTTGAGGCTGGGAGCCCCACAGGCTTTCCCGGCAAGACTTATCTCTGACTCAGTATTAAGTAAAGTTAGAACTAATGTTATTTATTATTAAATTTTATTTTATCCTTTTCTTGTGTGTTTATTTTTAATTTCATTCTCCATTAATTTCCCAGATCTCTTAGTAGATTATTATAATGGCAACTTCAGACTTTGTTTTGATGAAACGAAGAGAAAAGGTGTGTGTTTTGGGGGAAGGGTCATGTATTGTACTTTCTGTTCCCTTAGAGTCAGTGTGTCATAATGCATTTCCAATTCAGGGAGCAGCTTCTGAGGCTCAAGCAAATAGTGAAGAGAAAGGGTACAGGGTAATTAAAATGAAATTTAAAATAATCGTACTTAGGCAGTTTTTTGCATTGAAAAATCCTTGTTAAGCTTTAGACAATTACATAAGTTTAAGAAGTATAAGGTAAAGAAGGTGATTTTTTTTTCTTGATGCCCTCTGTAATTCCCTGAAAAACCCATTTGGGTTCAGTAGGAAAATCACTTAGAGGCCTCTCATCAAGGAGTCACTGAGCTTCAATATTGATCATAAAGATTTCTTGCCAGATTAAAAAAAGGGATATGGGAAATTTATTCATTTTTCTTCTTTTTGGTCTGAACAAATAGGAATAAAATGATACAATGTGAGAAATACTTTCTGGGTCTACTTCCTTGGGTTAGACTCACAACTTTTGAGATGGTAAAATTGAGAAGGGCATTTTGTGGATGGATAACATTAAAGAATTATGATCTCACTTAGGCATCTAGATTTTTTTTTTCTAGCATCATGATTTCATGAAACATTAGAAGAGTGGTTATTGTACAGTACTGTTCAAGTTGATGATGTCTTTAAGTTTTTCATAGTACTTTCATAATTTGAGTTTTGCTCAGGAATGAAATGTTTTGTTCATAGGTCCTTGGTCAAGGAGAAGAATGGAGAGGTGGTGATGGAATTAATAGTATTGGAGGGGGCCAGAAAGTGAGATTAATGAAAGAAGTCATGGAACACTATGCTGATCAAGATGATCTGGTTGTCATGTTTACTGAATGGTAAGAGAAACACCTGTGAATTTTAAAATCTGTATTAAATTACTTGTAAAAGAGCTGAGATTTGTGTTTGTAGATGATGTATTAAAATATGGTTGGATGGGTGGCTCACGTTTGTAATCCTAGCACTTTGTGGGGCCTAGGCAGGTGGATCACAAGGTCAGGAGTTCAAGACCAGCCTGGCCAAGATCGTGAAACCCCATCTTTACTAAAAATACAAAACATTAGCCGGGCATGGTGGCGGGCACCTGTAATCCCAGCTACTTGGGAGGCTGAGGCAGAGAATTTCTTGAACCCAGGATGCGAGGTTGCAGTGAGCCGAGGTTGTGCCACTGCACTCCATCCTGGCGACAGAGCGAGACTCCATTTAAAAAAAAATTATTGACAAGGAATCATTGTTTTAAAAAGTAGATATTACTCAGTTATAAAACTATTGTATTAATTAGTTTTCATGCAACTATAAATTCCTGAGACTGCATAATTTATAAAGAAAAGAGGTTTAATTGGCTCATAGTTTCACAGGCTGTATAGGAAACATGATGCTGGCCAACTGCTTGGCTTCTGGGGAGGCCTCAGGAAACTTAGGATCATGGCAGAAGGCAAAGGAGGAATGAAAGTCTCACATGGTTAGAGCAGGAGGAAGTGAGGGGAGGTGCTACATACTTTTAAACAATCAGATCTCGTGAGAATGCTGTAATGAGAACATCACTAGGGGGATGGTGCTAAACCATTAGAAACTGCCCTTATGATCCAGTCACCTCCCACCTGGCCCCACCTCCAGCACTGAGGGTTACATTTCAACATGAGATTTGGTTGGGGATGTAGACTCATATTATATCAACCATGGTCTGACATGATGTAATGCCATCAAAGACAATGAATTATCATGAACACTAATGAGACAACATGGCAAGAGCTAACTAACGTTTTTGTGAAATTCATACTTTAGTCTTGAGTTAAGAATAAATATCATATTGAGCTTTACTCTTGAGAAGGGTGACTTAATGGATTCTGGTTAAACAGAAGAAAAAAGACCACGCAAAGTTATAAATACAAGTGAGACGTAAGAAAGCCTGTGTTACTAAGAAAGAAGAACCTTTTTAATGTAAATGTATTTTGTGTAATATTTCCCTCCCTTATTAAAATATCCACTGTCTTTTTTTGCCATCTTCTTATAATTTTATAATAACATCAAATTGTCGTGAGTTATTAGTTACTACTTCCTTTCTTTTATTCTCTGTATCTTATTTGTTTTTGCTATCGATTGCTCATTTTAAGTCCTCGTGAATTTTCCCCTCTAACTTAGGAAAGTCGTTTTATATGTTTCTTCTCAACTTGAAAATGTAAAGACACAAATTATTTGCAGATGAAAAGAGTAATATTTTTATGCATTAATATACATAAGAAAGTTGTAAATTATGAAATGAAAATAGATATTAATATAATGAAGTGTGCCATACACACTTAAAAATTTTCAAAAGGTACATAACACTTGCATCTGTAAAATTTTCCTGTTATATTTTACGCAAAAAATTAAGTTCTACCTGTGGTTACCTATTTTGCAAGATGAAGTATGGTAAGGCAAGTGTTAACCATAGTGTACTGGCAATTTTTCTACAGCATTTGTTGTTTTTTTTTACACTTAGAAAAAGAATACCAAGTTCATTAAAATAGCTCTGTAGAATAAATACTGAGTATGTTTTGGTTTGAAATTACCATGGATTTCAAACAACCATATTAGTCAACTTAAACTTGTCACATGTACATTTTCACTTTGGCTCTGAGGCAGATTCTCCTTGTAAGAGTTACTACATACGAGTCAGTAAAGATTTTAGATCCCCAAGGTTCCTTTTGGGTTTTAGGAAGAACTCCTTTTCTCTACCATTACTCTCACATCACCATCCGCCACCTCTGGCCCCCTATCTAACGTTTATCCTTGTGGACAGCTGATATAGTGAGGGACCTATTTTTTTCTCATGAGAATTAGGACACTGTGAGATACCTAAAGCCAGCTTGAGTTTGAGTTTGTTGATTTAGATGATACTTTTTAAGACCTAGCTTGACAGAAAAGATAATAAAATTTTAATGGAAGACACAGTGTCTTCCAGGCACTGTTAGTGTTTGGGATATATCACGGAAACAAACAGATGAAATTTCTTACAACTCCTGTGAGAACAGCCAGCTAACTGAAAACATGGGTGCCCACTCAGCCAAATAATTGTCTAAGAAGAGTCATTAACATTTTCTCCGTCATTACCTACCATGACTACCCTCTGGAAAAAACCTAGGGGTCATGAGAAAGTAGCCAGGGGAGTAAAGAGGGATGAGCAATTGAAGCCACATAAGAACTTTTTTTTAACCCCACTTATTTTTTAAAAACAACACACTTTTTAAAAAGTATATACAGAGTGATGAATTTAGTTGAAAATTGTAGGTAATCTAGGGCCCGGGAGAATGAATTAAGTGAACTAAGCTGTTTGTAAATGGTTTGAAATATGATGCCCATTCTGTAACACAATTCTTAAACTCTTAATTAAGGTTAGTTCTGGTAAAGGGCTTGAATTCAGGATATATTTATTTTAATAAAGCAAACACATTCTTATTTTTTACGTGGTATTTTTAAGGACAATTCAACTGTAATAATTAGTTTTATGGAAGCATAGGTCACTATTATATGAAAATATACAGAGATTTATAAACTTGGTGGTTTAGATGAGCCTTTTAAGAAACACAGCTTTGTTATGGTATAATTTATATAACATGCCATAAACATTTGTAAGTGTAAAATTCAGTGAATTTAATTAAATTTACAGAGTTGTGCAGTCATCCCCATTATTCAATTTTAGAACGTTTCCAATACCCCATAATTATCCCGTATGCCATTTAGACATGCTAAAAAGCCCGAATTAATTTGGAAACAATTTTGTCACATTCCTTCCATGGAATATGTATACTAAAATTACTTTTGGATGAACATTTAAAATTAGAAACTGGCTCTTTATAAATATAATGTGTAGGGTAAGATTTATTATACTTAATTTAGATAAAAATAAATATTTGGCAAGGTTTTAGGTTATTCTCAGAACAAAAGGAAAACTGAAGATATCCATATAATAAATTCAATCTTTTTTGCAAGTTATTTCATGCTTCAGTGTGTGTGTGTTTCCTTGCAATTAAAATGGCTTATAAAGTTTGATAATCTCTCCTTGATTAGAACACCAAAAAATATGAATTTGGTGATTTTTTTTTTTAAATAGGCTAATGAAAATTTTGGGGACAAATACTACAATTTGGTAGCTATCAACTCCTTTATGGAGAAAAATGATGTCATAAATATTTTATAGTATACCTTAATCAAGTGAATGAGCATGTTGAGTTTTATAACTGGGTACTTTACATTTGTTTTATAATTAAGTTACAAAGCTTGTATTTCTTCTATTATCGTCATATTGAAGAGAAGTGATCAGACCTAATTATTATATGTTGGCTAGTGCTTTCTTATTATTTTTGTAAGGATAATATATAAACCAAAATATAACAAATTATTTGTGTTTTTGGGAGTAAATTTGTTACATACTTAATATCCTCACACAACTTTTGCTGTGCTGCTTACAGTAAAATATAAACTAGCAGAGTCTCAGGCCCTAAAATAAACCTATGGTGAAGTAAGTTTTCCAGATTTGGGGGCATCAAATAAAGTCGCCTAATAAAAATTTTGACTGTTCTTTTTTCTTTTTGACTAAAAATTTCTTTTAGATTTAAGGAAATTTAGAAGAAAACCAGTTAGAAATAATGTTGGCGTAATTAATACTTGAGTTTGAATTTGGGACAGGACAGACATTTACACTTTCATTGGTGGCACTTTGTGTAACTCAACTGATTAGAATGTAGATGTGCACCATATTGAAGACTCCCGGCATATGAAATATTTGAAAGACATTTGGTGGTGGTTACTGGCCTTACAAAAAAGGAGTATTTCTTTTATGGAAATATCTACTCAAAGATATTGATATATAGAAACCTCCCAGTTCTTTGAAGTATTTGTTTAAAGATGATTATGAGTTGGAGGTAAGATAAAAGAATTGGCTGTTGCGAATTTAAGTTACCAGTAGGAAAGACTAAACAGAAAAAAAAATTGGAATGGTAGTCAATGGTATACTATACAAGTTGATATATATAATTAAAATAAATGTAAAGCGTAGTCATTATTTGAGCAGTTTCTTAGGCAGCTCTGATCTGCAAAGTTGATCCAAGATAAATAAACACTGGTTAAAATGGAGGGATAATTTCAGTCACACAAATCCTTGCTGTTCACTAGTGTACCTTATCACTTTGATTGTATATGCATAGTTTCTTTTCAGTTATGCTGAATTGTAATTGTGTGTTTCACACAGTGAAGCTGGGGCCTGTTCCTCAATTACATACATTCAGGGTGCAATAGCAAGAAATCAGTTGGGTAATGGTGAATTGCATTAGAAGAAGAAACAGGCCTCTTAAGAAGGGAAAATAATGGCGGATGCTTTGAAACTATTTTTTGAGATTTTTTGTTGTTCATTTGGAGAAATAAGATGACTTCTAAAGGCAGGAAGGTATCTGAACTTTTTAAATACCAAAGAATGGAAATTATTTAAAAGTTGAATTTTGATTAGAAAATATGGATATGAGGATATTGTTTCTGATCTCATATGTCAGCCAACTTTTGTTTTCCTTTTGGCTTCTCATTGATCATTATTTTGCTGAAAAAGTGGCATCAGTGAACAGGTTTTCCACTTTGCATTCAGAATACATATGTTGAGCACAAAATGTAATCCAGGCATTGAAGTTAATACTATAGAAAAAGAGATATAAATAGATGCCACCCTCAAGGAATTCTCATGTATATTGTACTAATTCTGCAGACAAAACATAACAAACATTGTGGAAAAAGAATGCATAGCTTTTAAAAAACCTGAATGTTGGCATAATCTCTTTAGAATCATTTATTTTTGGGAAAGTTGTGAAAG